GCATAAGCACAAAGCATGTTTTTAGGTCATGATTTTCCAGCCAAAATACATTTAATTTCTTTAACAACAAAGGTGAAAGTGACCAAATGTAAAACACATTCATGTGATGTGAATAATTGCACTGCATACCAAAAAACTGCTGCATACAATCCCAAACAAAACAGTTTCGGTGGAAATTACACAGACAGCCCTTCAGAAACTTGACCAAAAGGCAAATGGCATTGGCATGTTAATGCATGCATGTTAATTCAGCACAATCCATAAATAGCCTGCAGAGTTTAAAAGTATAGGGAAGAAAAAACATAAATTTCATTATGCATTTCTGAGTGTGTTAGGACATTTTATATCACCACTTAATACAAAAAAGTTTGCTTCTAAAACTTTAATGAGATTTAGATTTTAAAGAGAATGCAAATAAAACCAAAGATAATGAATCTAAAAGCAAAGTTATGGGTAATTAAAATCATTACAAGTGAGGGTGTTAGAGGACTGTTTTTAAAAGAAAGAATAATCCTTCTAACTATCATGTGATGATCTAAACTCTGTTTGCTTTAATGGATTGACCAATTGGTAAATGAGCTGATTGCATTAAAGGAGAAGGAATGCTGATGTCTCTCCAGCATTATCATGATGATGATGATGATGATGATGATGACGATGATGGGCAGCAGCTTCGGGCTGGCAAGCATGAGGAGTTGCAGCAGCAGCACAGTGAGTACTGGACATGTCTGTAGTAATTACACTCAGCTAGGGAAAGGTTCTGGGGTCAGGCTGAGTGTGAGCTAGCTGTCTGCTCAAAGTGAATGTATTCCCAACACCAGATGATCTTTACTTCATCCTTATGATGCTCCAGGCAAACTTTACATCCCTTTCAGCCTGAGGCATTTTCTCTACATTTGTAATATATATTTTTCCTCTTATATAGTGAAATGAATGCTTTTTAATTTAACAGAGCTCAAAATAGAGTAAGACAATTCACCTTGTAAAGGTGTGTGCATAAGTTTTTAAATATTTTTTTCATGCAGGTATCCCTTCTTAGAATATATTTTAATATGGCCTTGGGTAGTTTTAGGGTCCGGCTAATAACTGTCCTCAGTAGACAAATAATTACTGATGATCGTCCACAAGAAAAAGGACAAAATGTGGAAATAGTAAGAGGCACGTATGAACATGGGTCAATCCCAAGGCTTTGTAAAGATCAGGTTGAGTAAAAGAAAAATGTTTTCACTCCTTTCCTTTTGCCATTTCATACTTTCCTATATTTGCTTGCTTCATTCAAAACATTTTTAAATACAACAAGGTGTAATCATCTATCATGCTTTTTGATAGCAACTATAAAGACCTGATCTTAATTTATGTCCGCGTTGGGGATACAGTATATCAGACCTGCTTTGACAAATGTACATTCAGTGTGTCTTCCTATAACATGTTGAAGAGCATGTTATGCTATTTGTCATGTCTTGGTGACAAATAGTATCTGTCACTAAGAGGTTTATAAGACTTATGTTACTTTTATCAAGGAACATTATGTTTCATATACCATATAAGTTAAATACAGGAAACAACAGCCTATTCAATGGATGCAGGGCATGAATTTTTCTGAATATAAATAAAATGCCACCGATTAGGCATACCTTTATGAGCACCTGTCTCTAATAGACTGTTAAACCTTTTGCAGATAAAACATCTGGTATCTGGCACTAATAGATCTTTTATGTCCTATTATTCACAAGTTGAGGTATCCAGGGATAGGATGTGTTAACAGATGGTTATAACAATAATGGTTTATTGCAATAAGTTGTGGAAAAATTAGAGCCAAAGTAACCACCTTAACCTAATGCTGCGCTATTTGAAACAACTCCACAAATAACATTGGCAAATAACATTATACAGCTAAAAAGTGTCTACAATTATTAGGAAAAGTGGTTTCAATGAAACTGTAATGTTACAGTACTGTGTGTGCCAAAGTAACAGTGGTAAATGGAAGGGGAACTGGTTTCCCAGCAAAGTGTTGCATGACACTGCTTCTGTAGGTCTGCCCTCCTTTGATAGAGCCAGTACTCGAGTTTAGGGGGGATGAGGGGAATGGCATCCTCATTCTTAAAAAAATCTTAAAAATCATTAAATTACCATTAAATGACCATCCCCCAATACCATCCCCCTATATCATTTTATTACTGAATGTGTACATTTATATTATATTTTGACAGTAATGGTAATAATATTGCCCTTTCAACATCTGGCAGGAGCTTTCAAATAGCCTCACCAACTTACAGTGGCCCAGAGGGCACATGCAGTTTCATTTTCGACCTCAGTGGCACAACCAGCGGACCAGGTGACGGTGTTCTGAACAGCATCACAGCCAAGCGGCAAAGACAATGCAGTTTGAGGGACTTTTTAAGAAGGTTAAAACTAACGCTTCAGTTAAGTAAAGAGTCAGAAGACATTATGCTGCGTTCATACCGGACGCAGCTGGCGCGACAGAAGCAGCGAGTTTACGTGCAAAGTAAATCGTTGACGCGCGTCAAGGCGCAGCAAAAGGTCCCGCGGCGCGTTTTGAGCAGCAGGCGCAGCGCTACTGAGCAACTGAAGCA